ATATTACATTGTGGGGACCAAATGTCCCTCACAATGTGATAAAAACCTATTTTTTTGACATTGTGGTGACCATTTTCCAGGTCCTCACAAAGATCTGTGAATGCAATCAAAAAAGTAAAAATGCCAAAAATCTCATATTGTGTTTGGTTACTTTTGGTTAAGGTTAGGGCTGGGTAGGGGTTAAGGTCGTCATGTTGGGATTAGTGTTTCCCCCATAGAAATGAATGGAGAGTCCCCACAAAGATATAATTACAAACCTCTGTGTGTGAGACAGCTGGTGGTGTGGGTGTGTGTGCTGGTTGAACATCTCCCCTCTCCCTCACAGCAGCAGCAGCTCCAGGCTCAGCACCTCTCTCACGGACACGCCCTGCCCGTGCCCCTCACCCCCCACCCCGCTGGCCTACAGCCGCCCACCCTCCCGCCCGTGGGAGGCAGTGCCAGCCTGCTTGCCCTCTCCAGTGCCCTCAGCGGCCACCCGCAGCTGCCAATCAAAGATGAGAAGAAACACCATGACAATGAACACCAAAGAGGTGATGGCTCTTACTCGTGCTCCTTTCCACCCGCTACATCCCCCATCCCTACCTCTTCCTTCTCTATTCCTCCATTTCATTCCTGTTCCTTCTCTATCCTTCCCCCTGCCTCCCTATTCTTGTACATTTCTTCTCTTTCCTTCCCATTGCTTCCTATTTTTTCTTGTTCCTTCCCCCTTCCTTTCTGTTCCACCTGTCTTCCCTCTTCCTGTTTCTTTCTGTTTCCTTCTCTTTCCTCCCTTTTCCATTCTGCATCTTCATGCTCTTCCTCTTTCTTACCATTTCCTTTCTGTTCCTCATCTTTCTCATTAGTTCCTCTCACTGGCTTTGATAAGAAACCAAGATGTTTTGTTGACACTACATGAGACCTATTAGCTGTTTTTGGGAAAAGCCTTGGGTGATTGGAGCATACACGTGTCTTCCCGTGGTCTCGTGTCAGAGTCGAGCTTTGAGTAGCGGTTCACAACGGACCGGAGCTGGAGATTAACGCGCTGTCCGCCACTTCTCATTGCCCGACCACCGCCCCCCCCGTGTTTAATCCCTCTCACACCAACTTCCTCCGATAGCCTCGTCATTCCCATTGAGCTTGGGCAAAAATCTTGATGCTGAGAGAACACCTCCCTCCACTTCCATCATGGCTGCCTGCAAGAGGAAGTCTGGACTGAACTCGGTTTATCGTAACAAAAAGATGCGTAAGATGTTCATGGGTAATATGTAGCTGCCACACGCCACAGAAACAATGCTCGGGCTAAAAATAGTCCCTACTTTCTGTGCCACAAACTCCGTCTGGAGATGATTCTCTTTCCCGCCTCAGCCGGAACTGCGTCCTCCCTTTGTGTGTGTGCGCCATTGTTTTTGTGGCAGGAGCTCAGCTCTTTTGCCAGTCACTCAGCAAGCAGATGAGAATCAAAGCGGCTGTGTGTGTGTGTGTGTGTGTGTGTGTGTGTGCGCGTGCATGCGCGTGCGCGACGCTAATTTGCCATTCTGGTGTGGCGCGGAGCATAGCGGGGCCTTTGTAGAGCCTCCGTCTCGCCTCAGCGGTTAATTACCGCGGAAATAAAAACCAAAGGAGAGGGAGCAGCCGGGCGTGAGATCGATCACGTAACGAGGAAGACGCAAATTAATGGTGGAGTGCAGATGGTACAATCGACTCTCAAAAAAAAAAAAAAAAAAAAAAAAACCCACAACAACAAACTGCTCTCTAGTCAACAAAACTTGGTGCATATGCAAATCCCCTAATTAGCGCAGCATT